CACAAAACTTCTTACTGTTTGGCCTAAAATACCGAGTGGCATCTCCAGGATGGATGCCAGCCTGCAGGCCCAGAAAGACAGACAGATGCTCTGAAAGTAAGAAACGTACATAAGGGGACCTGGACACCTCTGAGGCGCTCGCATGAGGAGCTGCCCAGGGCAGAGGGGATGGAAGAGAGAGACGCAGGCAGACTGAGCAGCAGGGCCTCTTCTGGGGCTGGGCAGATGGAGCTCATTTGGCACAGCCACGGAGAGCCACGTTTATCGTCCACCCACACAGACTCTGGGACTGTCGGCTTGATGCTTTCATTAGCAGCCTCACTTCTCAGAGCCAGCGAAGAGGGACGGCGTGCGGAGAGGAAGGAGGGGGGAACAGCACTGAGAGGACACCAGGAGAAGAAAGCAGGGTGAGACAAGGGCGCTGGATTGCAACACCAGGAGCATGGGGCTGTCCCAGCACATTTGCTGAGGAGCTGCTTCTGGGGCAGGACAAAGCAGGCGGCTGTTTATCAGCAAACAGCTGCTTAGGTCCGGAGCTGAAGAAGGATCTGCCTGCAGCAAGAGGGTTAATTTTAAGTTGGCAAAGAGCTTCTCCGACGTTTTCACTTCCACCATCAAATCTCTGGGGCTGGCAGTTGCTAATTACAATAATGAGAGGTGACAGTCACATGACACGTGGTGGATGGCTGAGCTGGGCTGAAAACCCAGAAGGTCACAACGAATTGCAGTGACAGGATTCAGAAACCCCTGCCCCACATTTTCTCTCCCTCTCTCCCTGCTTCTTCTCTCCCCCCCCCCCCCCCCCCATCTGCAGTACCACAAAAGCAGAAAATGTTACAAAAAAAAAAAAAAAAAAAAAAGGAAACATCATTCAAGTAACTAGAATGCAAACAGAAGGAGGGCATGAAGACTGGGGACAGGAGCTTAGTTTCAGTGGACATGCTGTCACTCCAGCTATCAAGATTCCCAAACCATATGGCCAAAAGAGACTATCTAAGCATCTCTTTTCATTTCCCACATAACACTAACCGGGAGACAACACCCTGCTTTAGTGATAGTTAAAGCGGTAGCATTCTGAACTCTAAGATTTTATTTTGACAAAAAGGAGCCTGCAAAGAGAGGGCACAAAACGGGTATACAACACATGAGCTCTGAGAGCTCCCACTCAGATTCGCATTGCACTGACATAAATGACTGCCCAGAGATAGGGTCCTTTGCATCATTGTGAAACTGAGCCTCTCCTAAGTCACATTCTCACCCCTTCCCCCCCTTATCTAGCACGGAGAAAAACGGTTTTGGCTCAGTCCCATTCCCATGACCAGTAAGCGAATTATAGCTACTGCCTTTCTCACATCAAAGATCAATCCAGCCCTGACCTTAGACTTACCCCGTGGGCCTGTCCAGAGCTATTATGAGTGATTAGTTCAGAATTTCCCCCGCAGCATTTCACAGCGACGCTATGATCTGCAGGTCATGGCATGTGCTAGAGAAAGCTATGTGAAAGCTTTCTAATGATATCAAAATTATGTGAAGGAGAAACCTGCTCACCATCCACAACATCTCCGTCCCATGACACGGATCCCAGCTGAGTGACCTCGCAATGCCATTCAGTCAGACAGCTGCCATCACACCGCTGGACAACGGGGGCCCGTAGTCAGGCCACAGACATTGAAAGTGCTGTAGCTGGCTGCTGAGGCCTTCTTTAAAATGTTTCTCGTGGATTATACTGCAAGGAAAGGTAACTGAGCCATCAATGGAAACAGTGAGATTTACAAAATAAAGGAAACAGGACTTGCGCTTCTTTTTGATCTCTGCTCATGTTATGAAAAATTGCCCAAGAATACTTTGATTGCTTTTTCTAATTTGTTCTGCATTATAATTAAAGGTTTGACTAGATGACCTTAGAGGTCTCTTCCAACCTGAACTACTCTGTGATAATTTTGAACGATTCTATGATAATTTAGCATTTTTCCCACCTATTTTATCACAACAGATTTCAAGAATCAGCTGAAGTTACACATTTTGAGGGCAAATTTCAAACAAATTTGGGGAGGGAGAGGGTCATTTTTCATAGATCTATTCAAAACTCCACATGTATCCACATTCAGTACCAGTTTTATTCAGATGTCCAACAAGCCCACTGCAGAAGAAGCACCTTTCTGAGGGATAATCTTAAAAAGTTTTAGAACATTTCTGCCTTCAATGATCTGGTGATGACTGCTCTTCCAAGAAAGCTCTCTCCAGATATTTAAAGAATCACCAAATTTTAGATAGCACAGAAGTAGCCAAGCTGGAATTTAGCCCACAGAGCAGACATAAATGGCTGTATGAAAAATAGATGAGGAGATCTTTGATGAAAAAGGGGATTCAGTTACTCAGCTCATGTATAAGAAGGTCCTAGAAAAACATTGCCTGCTAATTCTGCGAAGAGGTTCGGCACTGACTCAGACCTAAGCATCTGGCTCTCTCCTGAATCAATGCCACCGTTTCCTGAAGCCTTAAGGATTTTTTCTCTTCTTTTGGCAGCTTCACCTTCAGTCACTGCACCCTGCCTGACTCAGCTTAATATGGGACTGTAGCTGGAGACCTGTTACGGATTTTAGGCATACATGCCTAAATAAATAAATAGTGACAACGACAGCAGCAGCAACAGCAATAAGAAAAGACCTTTTTTAGCAAAGAATACTAGGAAAAAACACCTATCTTTTAGCAGTGACATGTAATTAGAAAAATACTGTGCCCTGTCCTGACATTTGAAATTGTAATTGCAAACACTCATCAAATTGGCTTTTCCTCATTGTAATGATCCTGAAGAATCACTGTAATTGCAACAGCTCTGTCATTTGCAACAACTTTAGGGAGTGAATTTATTAGCACAAATGGTAGGAGTTGCAGGAACTTTTACTTTGACTATAGGGCAACCTTTACAGCCTGATGTGTGGAGTGGAAAGGAGCAGTTACACCACCGTCCTGACAGAAGCCTGTACTTCTTTGCTACTAGTGGAGCTGAAGAAATAATGCCTCATTTTCTGTTCATAAACTGTTCATGACTTCTTACTACATGTATGTAATTGGCAAGTTACATGGTTCCTCATGCCCAGATCTGAGGAATAGCTGTTACAGAACTGGGCCAAGTGTCCCCTAGTAAATCTATTTAAAATTATTTCAGGAGTGAGGTTTGTGGAAGTCAGTAATGACATTGATAGGCTCCTGGATTACCTAACTGAACATAGGTATATTGTGTGTGGACATCCTATGATGGCTGCACAAACCCTGCAAGATGATAAGCATGCCTCCCCTTGCACAGTTTCACCCTTTTCCCTATCCTGCTCAAAACTTGTGTCTAGTTTTGGGGGTAATTTGATCAATCTGTGAGACTGTTGTTCACTGATTACTTGAAAACTGTTTCCAAAATATTAATTTCAGTGTTGCAGATGTCAAAGATTTATCATAGCATCCAGATGGTTTCCTAGACCAGGAAAGCTTGCTTCGATTAGTTCTTTAATAATGTTTATGAGTGCAGTTTCCTTATCCTTTTCTCAGAGACTCTATGACCTGAGGTTTGCATTTCCTATTTCCTATAAAACCCATTATTTACTACCACACATTCAGGGAGAAACCTATTACAAAATAATCCAAAAGGCTAATGATAACCTTGCATAAACAGCACTGCAGTTAGAGCTTTCTTTCTCGATAGCACCATTTCAGGCGGTATCACATCAGAACTTTCTACAGCTACTTTCAAAGAGGAGATGGCTCTGCAGTGTCCTCTGGTATCCCAGGATTTTAAGCAGTACCTTCCCTTTTACAAAGAAAGAGCTACACAAAGCAGAAGCTGAAGCCATGTCTCCATAGGGAAGTGACAGGAAGAAGGGGGGTGGGAAAAGGTGTGCTTTCCCACAACTGGAGGCTAATACTAATGGTTTAAATTAGGGAATTTAAAATCAACTTCTAGCCCTGAGGTGCTGTCTGACATTGGGCAGACCACCGGACCTACTGTGTAACATAAGGAGTTTTTTTTTAAACATTTCCTGCTTTTCAAGAACATGAATGAACTCAATCAAAGTCCTTTGAGAACATCAATTGAAAGACACTAGGAAAAAATACCATTAACAGTAGGAAGTCTTGGCAAATGCATGAGCTCTAGCCTTCACCTTATACATTACTCTGAAAGAAGGCAATAACGTTGAGCTAAAAAGTTGACAAGGATATATCTTTGTCCTTTGTGAAGCACAGGCCTCTGGCAGCTTAATCCTTCTCAATACCACCAAGCCTTCTGTAACCTCGCTTCAAAAATGTAACAAGGCACCCCAAATCCTCACGCCTTTATGAAAATTGACAAGGCACAAAGCTTATAAGAGGAAATGTCACACTGCAAAGATGATTTGGAAAAGTAATCAGCAATTGAGTTCAGTTTACAGCTTTCAGATCGTGCAGGCTCCCTGACTCATCCAAGCCACTCTGCTTTATCGGAACTGCCAGTATCACCCTGAGACAATGTATAATAAAATATGGAAAAAGTGTTTGAAATGTGTGACCTCACTGATGCAATGACATGAGAAACACTTCTCACTGTAAAATATAATGATGTGGTTGCATTAGCTTGGAATCAGACCATATATTGCTGCTGCTACTGCCACTACTTCAGCCCTACCACTTCGTGTCCAGAGGACTTCACGGTTCAGGGCACGCACATCCAGCCCCCTTCCCCAGTACAAAATGCAAGCTTCACTTCTGGCTACAGTCCTGAGTTATATGGGACAGAACCACCCTTGCACATCATAAGGATGAAGTATTGTGAGGCAACACCCTTATATGCCCCTTCTGCTCTCAGAGAGGGGCAAAAAAATGGGTGTCCATGAGTTACTCCTTTGCAGATGGAGGAACATCAAATTATGATACGCCAAATAATAAATAAAGCTTTTCTATTCTTTCCTCTATTTTAGTATAGAGCTTGGGTGCTAAAATAACCCCCCCTTAAGCTGATTACTGTTACTCACTTGAATAACACTACTGCATTCATGATTTTAGTTCCAAGTACTGCAGTCTTTCTGCATTTCATGGCTGTAACATGGCACGGTGAGAGGATACTGCAGCATTCCTCCTAATGGCTCCAAAGCGCTGCTAATGCCTGCAGTGCCAGGCAGTGCTGCATACAGTATCTGCAGGAGGAGAGAAACAGAGTAACTCAGGTTGGAAGGGCCATCTCTCTTAAGGTTTCTGGCCCAAACTGTGCTCGCAGCAGAGCTAACTTCAAAGCTGGGCCAGGGAGGGAGGATAAACAATAATCGCTTTCATCTGCCAGTCCTGGGCAAGACAGAAAGTAAACACTTGTTTACACAGATAAAATGCAGCATTTCTAGGAACTGCTAAAGAACAAAATCACCAGGCAGTATAGATCTCATAGCAAGGAATTGATAACAAAAGGTTGGCTCTTGCACCTCATATTGCTACTTCACTGACATTCTCTGTTTTTCTAAAAATCGAACGTGCAGGCTAGGCAGCTGCCTTTTTTTTTTTTTTGGGTCAAATTAAAGGTTAGGTCATTTCAGAGAGAGGCAGATGTCTAAACATCCTGGAGTTATTCTCCCAGTGCAAATTGCAGCTGAAGCCACCCAAAGTCAATGCTGCAGACTAGCCTGCAGCTCTTCCAGTCTGTTTCAAACCACTAGCCACTGGCCCTTCATCTGCTAGGCTCAATTCAGTGGTCAGAACAGAACAAGGCATCGTGGTTAGCGTGCCAGTGAGTCAATGGAAACACGTCTAAGATTACAACTCTCAGCACTGGCAACATCAGTGGAATTATCTGGGTTGGAGCAACGGTGTGAAAACTTAACAAAACAAGCCTCATGTAGTCTCAGCTTTGCTCCATGAACCAAGCAGCTGAATGAACATTACTCAGAATGAAAACTTGTGTACGTACACTATTCTTTTTTTTTTTTTTAACCCCTAACAGGAGTTTTCAAATCACAGCTCCTCCCACTGCCCAAACACCACCCTTTTCTAAGGTGACTAAAAACCATCATGTCCCTCCTGTAAGAAATTCTGCTCTCTCTTGTTTTTATTCAGCATCAGAATGAAGCATGAAATTATTCAAAGTTCCCAGAAAGCATCAGAGTCAAAAACACAGAACTGGGGATTTTCAGGTAGTCCCCAGTCAGGACATGTCTGCACTGCCACATCTGCTACAGAAGAGTTGTGGCTCCACATTTCTCCCTATCTTCCCTTCACACCTCTTTTCTCCATCCACACTACTTGATCTTGGTGCAGCACGGAGGTGCCACCCCATCCCCTAACAGGGCTTGGGCAGGGTAGACCTCATGTAGGAACAGTGTCAGTAGGCACCTCAAAGCTTCACATGTCAACTGTAGGCAAAGGAAGACTGTCCCCTACTCTCTACAGAGGCCTCCTGGCACTTCCCCTCTTGCCCCTGATTTTGTTGGGTTATCTGAGGACTTCCTTCCATAGAATGGTGCTCAGAAAGGGTTATGCGAGGTGATGATCATATATATGATAATGTGGCACTTCCTGCTCAAATGACTTCCAGAATGCCTCTTGGGCACAGAGAGCAATGTGCAGTGCTCCCAGATGTTGACTACGTGTCTAAGGATATACGAGGGGAAAAAATGTACACAATGGAGTTAGCTGGAAAACGAATGTGAGACTGGGCAGTTCAAGTCTGCACTCTGATGCTCATGGGAACAGTATGTTTCTTCATTCTTCAATTTCCTCTTTCTTTAGACTCTGGCTACCTTTGTTCCCTACTATAACCTAAGATCTTGAGCAGGGCAGCTCCAAGGAAAGGGCTGTTCTGTGCTGTCTGTATTTCCTCCTTCCCCAAGCCTCTGCTACTGCTTCAGCTGGAGCTGAGGTACTGAGCTAGATCACCAGTGCTGGGTTGCCCGGTTTATGTGGACCCACACCAGCTGTCAGCATGGACAACTTAGCTGTTGCTGTACTGTGCTCTGGTCAAAGAGCTCAAGCCCTACTTACAGTTAGGTCAAACAAGGCTTTGCTGAAAAAAAAAGTCATTAGCTAAAGGTACACAAGCACCTGGCTACAGAGGTTGAAGGCAGCTTTTGAGATCTGGAGCTGGTTAGTAAAGGGATGCCTATCTATGCTCCTGCAAAGCAATGACCCAGCATCATGGGTTTGGAAATGCCTAGAGAAGAGATACCGCTTGGAACAAATCAACTCAGTTACACATTACAGATCTTCCTTCTGAGAGATCAGTAACAGAATGAAAGCTCACGTGGAATTGTTTTGTTCCATGGCCCAAATGGGGAAAAGAGGTAGTGAAAAGGGTGGAAGAGGAATTTGCAGCAAGAAACAGTCTCTGGATCCTTCAGGATTATTTCACTGGAAGAGACAGGATCTGAATCTGGAGCCACTCCAACAGTCATACTTTTCAATAGTAACACAGTATTGGCAGCATATGCATATGCAGAGTATGTTAGGTTGACTTTGGACTGTCTTACTTTCTAAAACGTCCTCAAGTCTCATAGTTTTCTATCAGTCAAGCACTCCGCTAAATCAAGTGCACCATTCCATGCCCTCCTGAGTAGTGTGGTTTCCTGATAAAGAAATTGTCTGAGAATATGGCATACAAACACATTTCCAAGCGGCAAGGCAAGGCTTGAATTTGCAGCACAGCAGTTCCTCAGGTGTAGCTCCTTGTTTCTAGCCCATGATAAATGCAAGGTAGCTTAAAAGGTCTTGCTTGAAGATTTCAATAGGCTGTAGTGCCACAGGAAGTTTATCTCAATGTCACTTCCTCACATGCTTTATCTTCACATTAAAATACCCACCAAGTTTTACAATGCTCACACACAGTCACAGCAAAATCAGCTCTGCATGGAAGCCTATGCCCTGCTTCGCAGCGTGGGCTGTTCCCATGCCCAGCCAGATTCCCAGTCATTTGGGCTCCACCTCCCCTCCAACCAAACCAAACCAAAACGTCTAAAGGATTTTTTACAACAGGAGCAGTGAGTTCCTCCACCCTGCCCTATTCCCCTCTTTCTAGGAACTGGCAGGATCCCTTCACACATAATTAAAGGAAAGAGGGAGGGGGGTAGACATGATCACATTTTGTAGGATGTTACTAATGATGGAAAACAGCTACTTCAAATAGAGCTCTAATTTCAAATAAAGTAGTTTTCAGACTTAACCGCTGTCTTGCAGATATAAGTGGGTTGTCTGTGACCGCTGTACTACAATGTGCCTCTTGCTGTATACAGTAGCTCTGCTGTAAGGGATCGTAGATGGTTTGTGGTGGTGGGAAGCCCCTGCTCCTAGGGCCTGCAGAGTTACTGTACTTGCAGAATTCCACCTTAAAAGCAATTGGACGTGCCTGTAACTCAGAGAAGTTTTGCTAAGCAATGACACATTGCACTTGGATCTGGAAGCATAACATCTGGAAGCCAAATGTTAGAGGCAATATAAAAGAGCCAGCCTAACACACCAGTGGGGCATTTCTAAGCCAGAAACATCCTCAGGATGGACCTCGTCCTTCTCTGGGTGTTCCTGCCTCTGGTGACAGTGGCATGGGGCCAGTATGGTGACTACTACTACGGCCCCTATAACTACGGAGATAATGATGAATGGGTCAATGTGTACCGGCAGGGCTTCAACTTCCAGTGCCCGCACGGGCAGGTGATTGTGGCTGTCAGGAGTGTCTTCAGCAAGAAGGAAGGCTCCGACAGACTGTGGAACTACGCCTGCATGCCAGCAGCCCAGAGCCTCGGTGAGCCGACAGAGTGCTGGTGGGAAGAGATCAACAGGGCGGGCACCGAATGGTAGGACACCCCGAACCGTCCTGGCAGGGCGCAGCCCTCATACCCCCTCTGGAAGGCGGGTGCTCGTACCGCAGCCGTAGCGATGGCAATGAGCAGTAACTGCCTGAGACCCCTTAATCGCAATGCATGCGTGAGGGCGCTCAGCAGCATCCCCTCTGCCTCCTCTGTAGCGCTTCCTTGCTGGAGGGTCTCAGTGTGCTGTGCTGTTCGGTCACTTGCAGCCTCAGCTGTCATGGGGGTTGGTCTCGCAAATGTCACTTTGCAGGTGAGGAAAATGAGGCACAAACCTTCAGAGAGTACAGGACAGAGCTGCTTCTGAAAGGCCACACGCTGAATTGGTGACTAAATTGGGGAACAAACTGTCTAGCTCATGACACCGACCTCCTGTTCTTATCACTAGAAAAAAAATATCTCTGTATTGCGCTGGCTTCTCTCTTTGTGTTTTCATTGCTAAGCTTTTTGGCTTAGGCTCAGTCAAAGGCTGTTTTCTAGTCATGCTGGTATTACAGGAACCAAAAATCTGCACTAACGAGTGATGATGGTGGCATATATATCCCTGATAATGACAGCGTATATATCCATGTTAATGATAGCAGAAGATCATGTTAAATCCTTCGTACAGCCACTTTGGGTACACTAAACATTACATTTTCTGTTATGCTTACAGGCAAAAGTGATCATATTTTGTGGCCACAATAATTTTTGGAAATATGTATGGCAAATCATGTTTAGGCAGCATATACCCAATATTTAATTTTCTACTGATTTCTTCATGAAATGTGAAATATTTTCAGACAACTCTGAATATGAAAATGTTCTTTGGACAAGATGAAATGAATGCAAGAATATTTTCAAATATTTTAAATGGTTCTGCTCCAGAAATTGCAATGTGACTTTTGCAAATTTTACATCATATGGGAACAGGTTAACAATGAAACGTTAAGCTTCTGCTTTTTAAATGATTCAAAGTTTTGCCCTGAATTATTCATAGTATTTCATTTACCATGGGATACATTCCTATGGCTGATGCAATTCCTAAGGAAAGAAAGACTGACCCCATACTTGACTTTTCAGAACTGAAAAGAAAGGGAGAGGGCTGCAAAACAGACAGAAAGAAGACATTGTGATAATACTGGGTGACTTCATTTTTCATACATTGGTGCAATTTCTACTTGCTGCATAGTAATTTTGAATTAGACCTTTCTGTTGTTCAAAATAAAATGGTTATTCTCCTTCCAAAAATCCCTGACAGCAACTGCTCAAGTTTACTTCTTACAAACAGGGTAGTGTACAATCTATACAGAATGTTTTCTTCTGCTAGCTGAACCATGAGGCCGTATTCATCATCACACTCCGTGTGCTTATTA